AATTGGAAAATCTTGGAAAATAAGAACTATTTCTGACACACCACTGCCAAAAAAATTGAATAAGGTACGAAAAGCTCCTTACTCTTGACATTTTACACCAACTTGTTCTCAAATTTTGATTCAGACTTTCAAAAACGCAAAATCTGCAGCTGTGAATTATAGGGTCCGAGCATTTAAAACAAGTAAAAGCCAAAAAAACAGCGTTTAGCGCTGTCTTTAATACACATGTTCAGAAGAAAAGATCATTCAATAACCAAAAGTGATACTATGCTAATGCCAAAGCAACATAAAAAATGCCAATATGGAATTCCTTGCAACGATGCAATCCTTCAAAACATATTCGATACGCCTCATAAGTCATACATCATGCCGGCTAGTTATACGCCAACATCGAAGCGAATGCCGGTCTCAAATTAATTGGTGTCCATAGTCCGGGATATACTAGCGCTTATTCAGAACGATGCCTATTAGCACTCGCAGCCGGAAAGACAAATTTCTTCAAAAACATCAGTAAAATGGAGTTCAGAAATCATTCGAATAAAGAAGACCTTGTTATATTATTTGGATCATCATAAAAAAACTCATTCCGCCCATTTGAAAGCAATTTCTTGACCACAGGACAACAGCGTTGCGGGCCCATCCATCGGAAACCAAGGAATACCAGGTTCAGTTATCTATAAGCGGTAAGTGCCGTTGTAAAGGTTATTAGGTCATAAAAATTCAATATCTGCGCGATTCTGTTTGCACTTCTCAAAATATCCAAAATCACCTGTGAATGACGTGCGTAATTGTCCAAATAATTTTTCTAAACATAGAAGCACCTAGGACAGCATGACGAAGCTTAATAACAAAACAAGTATACATCAGCTAAAACGGAAAATTCAGTACTAGCTTTGACTAGAGATATGACGTCTTATTTACAAAAAAGAGAGGCTGCGTTGACCTCAAAATGACAAGCATAAAATTTACTACTGAACTCTTTCAGGACAGTTCACTTCCACGTAAAAAAAGCCAGATAATCATCAGATTGTGAAGAACACAAATTATATCAAAAACAGCCAAAATGCAATAGTTATAGTTATCGAAAATTCGAATGGACTCAGAAATTGAACCTTAGGAACATATTCTGAATATTTGGTCTGTGGATTTAGAAAAAGTAGCACAGAAACACTGAAGCCTTACGAGAAACTAAGAAATCGAATCCGCAGATTTTCGACAGAAGAAAGAAATGAGCGAAGTCAAAAACTTCAGAAAGCTTGAAACCCACCGGTGGGTCGTATTGTCCGAAATGGCAAGACACGTACGATCCACCGGTGGGTCGTGTTGTCGTAAATGTGTTAGAAGAGTTTTCCAATAGCTAAGGCTTTGGATAGCAAAACATTCGGACATTTTAAACAGATAATGCACACAAAGCCTATGCAGTAGGCCCCTATTATCACCTCACTAATAAACCTTATAGAACAAACCATAATTTATTTTTGAGCTCCTCTAGGGTGAAGGTGTAAGCGAACACCACTGCCGACATTGAGTCCGGCCTTGTTCGTTAATCTACAGCGCTTTGTGTCGAACGACAAGCACTAATCCCAAGAAACGATGATTCCAAGGCAAATAGCGTTCGTTATTCAATGCCAGTAAAAGCAATCCAGTAGGACAAGGTAGCAAGAGATTCTTATTTGGAAAATGATTCGACAAGTAGGAACGAAGAAGAAAAGAAGTATATCACATCCTAACCGAAAACAGAGCAGAGTTCAGATTTCCAGGGAAACTGAAAAATTTCTGGGGAACCATGGGGTAACATAACTTTTATGGCTGCACTCCCACGGAGGCGGAAGGAAAAAAACGAACACTCAATAGCAAAGGATAAAGTTTCTGCGTGGGAGAATATCGCAACGAAAAAACGAATTCCAAAGCAGTGGATGGCATCAAGAAGATTCTGCAAGATTTGCCTAAGAATGTTCCAAACCTCATTCTGTTGAAAAACAAAGCGATATCATCAATCATGTTGTTATATTAACTTTGAAAATGAAAAGATTACCCGCTATAAATTTTTAGACAGTTCACCGGAACTTCCGCAGAACAAGCGCAGCGGTTCTGCACGATTTTGTTTACTACTGCAAAAGCGGAAACGTTGAGAATGGAAACTTCCGCAAATTTTCGCGTCAGTCTGATTGAAAAGAACTTGCGCAAGAATTCATAAAGCGCTGCGGAACTTCCGAAAAATGCCAGCGGTTCCGTAGCACTTTGAAATGTCAATACTTCCGCAAGCTTTTGGATGTGTTGTCTTGTATGATGTTGCCTCGCCAACAATAGAGTAAACTAGCTGGCTTACCCGGCTCCGCCGTATGTTCCGAATAGAAAATTCCATTTCTTAACCGATCCGGACCAAACTTGGCACACATACACTTCGGGCCCCGGCGGGTGCCACAGTCCACTTTTCGTTATCGATCGATGTCGATTTTATCGATTTTTTGCAAAATTTGAGCTAAGGGGCTGGAATTTGGCAGGGGGTGTAATCGAGCATGCTGATCACCCCCACGGGGTGATCAGCATGCTCGATTACACCCTGCCAAACTGTGCCAACTCCCAGCCCTGTAGCTCAAATTTTGCAAAAAATCGATAAAATCAATATCGATCGATGGCGAAAAGTGGACTGTGGCACCCGCCGGGGCCCGAAGTGTATGTGTGCCAAGTTTGGTCCGGATCGGTTAAGAAATGGAATTTTCTATTCGGAACATACGTACAGACAGACAGACAGACAAACAGACATTCAGCTTTATATATAAGATTATCGAACATGTCAGCCGCAGCGCAGAGGATAGTAAGAGAGTCTTACAGTAAATAGAGCAAGCTTTAAATTTCGCTTAATGTTCTCTTTTGCTGTTGTGGTTGGCAATCTTTGGAGATTCGCACCACTTTTACGAAACTTCCACAGGTGACCCGGCGAAACTTTCCCAAACGTTTTGCAGAAGTTCCAGCAAGTTGTCTGAGTTACTGTATGTTCAAGATAATAACTACAGTCATAAGACTCAGATCACAACAAAAGTCTAGGAAAGTATAGCAAAGCGACACGGATAAGAGCATACAGAACGCCTTCTTTTCTCTTCTTCACGATTTCAGTAACGGAAGATATTAAGACGTGAGCGACAATAAACAGAGAAGGTAAAGGAAATGACATCTTCAAAGACTGGGCTAAAAATTGAGGAAACAATATATCCGGATGTCGGGAACCGAATCTCCGTACTCATGTCCAAGAGAAGCATTGAGGTATTGAAGGCATAAAATGACGTCATTTTTGAGAATATGGGCTCGAGATAGAAAAAAACGAAGAAACGGAAGGCCTGAGGGAAATATGCGGAACAATGAGGATCATATCAGGCGCAGAGGCCATAATCGAAAACAGCATTAGTCAATGAAAGTATTAGCATGGAATCACAGGGGAAAATTCAAAAAAGTAACGACAAATACGCAAAAATCAAGGCCATTTACGGATAACATCAGCTTGAAAGGAGGTTACTATAAAAAGCAATGAACATAATCTTCCAGGTACAGCAGAGGCTATCATTGGGTCTACAGGAAGCGAGATCAGAGCAGGATGCTTAAGGTTAAGATGGTCAAATAGATCAGGCTTGAACACGAAAACTGAAATAAATTGAACTCTAGAGCTTATATAATGCTGTAGACAACCATTCCATGTGGCAAAACAACGGAACCATAATTCACCGAGAACTGAGGCCTACTATGTTAATGCGGAATAGTTCCCATGGTTAGCATTATTCGATTACAATGGTCACACACTGTAGTGCATATTGTTGCTGTGTAATATGAGCCTCCGGACAAAAGACCTTCTGGTAATCACGCAAGTATAAGTCAGGTTTTTTCAGATTTTGAGAGCAAGAGAAAATAGTGCGCATGCTCGGCCCTTCACTTCCAGTCAACATCAACTAAATAAGAGAGAAGTCCACCACATATCCAGCAAAAGTTTGATTTCACTAAGTCTCTCTTGAGAATTTCGATCATTCCAAGCTCAACGCAAAACATAAGCAAGTTTTTATTCAAAGATCAATAACCTAAGTGATGAATTTGCCAATTTTCTTAATCCATTTACTATTCGCGAATAGAATTTTTGCCCACGGACCGCAAAGCTGAGTTATGTCAAGGTTTTGGAATATTCGATTTCAAAGGGAGATACCAAGTGCGATGAAGAAGCTATTGTCAGGAACGCGAAAAAAGATTGGAGGAGCGATAAGCCGCAGAGGATAGGATAGATACAAAGCTTAAATCTTTTTTCATGTTACAAAACCCTATTTATAACCACATTAGCGTTGCGAAAAAAGGTACGAATCACCTTGCTTTGGAAAGAAAGTGAAAAGATGTTTTCCACAGAAACATCAAAAGTCACCTGAAACATTCTGAGTAAGTTTGTTTAGAGCATTAACCAAGACATCTAGGATAACATTATTACCCATATGAACCTAGAAATGATTGATTTTCAGCGAGGATCGAAAAAATATACGAAACCTCGCATTTGAAAGGAGGATTTTGAAAATGCAAGTCACAGCAAACGCAACAACTAACGTATTCTCTTTACTTCCCTAAATCATGGGGGTCTGTAACAATGAGAAGTGGGGCTTCAAAAACTACATAAGTGGAAGGACATGGGTGAAAAACCTGATGAATTATTCAGTGGAACCCAAAAAGGTATAGACAAGACAGCAATGGCAGAATGATATTTCGTGTTGCTGAAGATTGTAGCATTAGATGTGAAATTCAAATTTAAGTTTCACAAGGCTCTTCAACACGAAATGTTAGCTCCAAATAATTTAGGACAAAAACTTCAGAATACCTTAAAAAACAAGTGATAGCTGGAGTTTTACTCATACTGAACTGAGGTTTGATATCAGTTCCCTAAGCTAGAGAGTATAACAAACAGCAATGACGTATATACAAAGGTACAAGATATAAGACGATATAAGAATAGCAACGATGGGAAAATGACCTACTTGATATCATTACCCAAGAGATCGAAAAAGCCAGCGCCGTCTGAATTGTCCGCGTATGGTCCCAGCCGAACCTACAAAAAACAACTGAATACATGGTGAAATAATGATGAATAATGGTCAGTAAGCTGCGGACACAGGTGCACCATTGCTCGCAATATGTCATTAGCATTTCGAGGATACCTATTCTACACTTACATTTTGGATTTGTTTGTCACTGCCAAAGGTACTACGTATACAACCAAGGAAGAATCTCAACTCAAGATATGACCCATATACGCAGTATCACCATTACTTACAAAAATTACAGTATAAAAAATATGCTAGTTTGCTAAAACGCGCCATTCTCGCGATAATTCAATTGTCCTTATGTAGAGCCTTGTCCGAAGTATGGAAAATGCCTATGAGATAGTCTTGGAATGTCATTGTCAATTCAAAAGACTTCATGCGCGTATATAGCAGTTCTAGAATTCTGCAAGTTGCTTCTTCCTTCTTCCTTCTCTTTTGCGTGTCCCGCAGTCCCGCTCACAAGAATTCGTAACCACCTTTACTTCGTGAATTAAAGATTACCAAGCCTGAGCGCTTACCAATGAAAAAAGGTTAGTCGCTATACTATTTATGGTTACCTAGGTGACTATCACCTACGTCAACCTCAATTCTGAAAACAATCGCCCTGACGCCGTTGCGAATCAAAGCTGAATAAACAAAGAAGACTATGTGCCACTATAGGGCAACTTATAACTGGGAGATAACACAACACGTCGCTATGAACGTTTATTGTGAGACTGAGGAAGCTTACAACAGAAAAGCCCCGTTGTCCCCCGAACCCGCCCGCTTTACTGCGGGATGATTTATGTATAGGTCGGTTCGGCCACAATACGTAGCAAATGGCCGAACATTTGGCCGATGCACCAGAATTGTGCCACTATAGGGCAACTTATAACTGGGAGATAACACAACAGTCGCTATGAACGTTTATTGTGAGACTGAGGAAGCTTACAACAGAAAAGCCCCGTTGTCCCCCGAACCCGCCCGCTTTACTGCGGGATGATTTATGTATAGGTCGGTTCGGCCACAATACGTAGCAAATGGCCGAACAGACTATGACAAAAATTGACTGCATAAATGGCCAAACTAGCTCGTCTCTACCTCACAATAAGCAATAAGAAAAACGCAAGAAAAATCTGTTGAGAGCTAAAAACTCTAGTCCCACAACAAGTAGTTTTTTAGCGTTTTACGATGCTGCTAAATAAAAGAATACGAAATGCAGACGAAGAGCTCCTCACCTGCTTGCTCAAAGCCATCAACATTACGCGGTCATCATAAGAAACACCCAGATCGCCAGCTTTCTCCCTTTCTACGAAAAAAGAAAATAATTATTAAGCAGATCTATACAAAAACTCCGAGTAGACAGAAAAAAAGCACAAAATGATGAAATATATAAGGGTTACCTTTATAGTACTTGATCGCTAATTTATAGCACTCATCTAGTGGAGCACCAAATTCGCTCTGCACCAGCTGAACTTCGGAGAGTTTCACGTGATTATTGTTGGCTGCTTCTGCAGCCGATTTGTCGTCCATTGCAGCTGATTTAATCCCTGAAAATTTGTAGCTGACTATAAAGAATTAAGCTCAAAAGACGGAGAAACGCGATAAGAAACTACACCTAGAAGAGGTTGGAGCACGTTCACGGAAGGCTATTAAAGGGCCATCCAACTCACGACCACCGGACGAATTCGAAACGCACAAGCGTACCCTGATCGGCAACGCGGCGCGAAGCGCAGTTTTCTCCGCCGAGCGCGACAGCGAGCACGAACTTCGTTTTTCTAACGTTTTTTGGAGTTTTAGACGCCGATCTTTGTACGCTTGTGTGTTCCAAATTCGCTTTTGACAAGGCTTTCCGAACTCGACCAGCAACAAGCACTATTGTCACAAAGTGGAGCAATCACAGCTTTGTAATGCTGGTGTCTAAAATTTTCGGGTACAGCCATACGCACATAGATAGTTTTGCGATTTCGTCAGCGAATCCAAGAAGCTTTCTTTACAGTCTGACATTTCTCCGAAATATTGCGCAGTGGAGTAGCATCGTTACATCTGAGGCTCAAAAACTCCCAATAACGGTTTTGGTCACGACAAACCTTTATTAATTTCAAAAGGCCGCGCAGACTGAAAAAAGACACTGAATTGCGAAGTGCTTGCTAAATCCGCCGGTCAAGTTACGTTTGGGATCCTAATAGGAATGAGAATTAGTCAAAGTTGTACATGATGAAAACGTCGGGTTGCGCCTCGGGGAGTGATTTCGAGGAGCAACCAAATCGAGAACATAATTGCTGAAAAGAAAAAGGCGAAATATTTACGGTGGTTTGTTTCTTTGCAAATCCACCTCTACGGCTCGCAGTGTCCTCTAGCATCAAATAATTTGTAATCGTCAAAGTGAGCAGCCTATGTAAGCAAAAACTGGAAAATAAATTTGAAAACTATCTTCCACGTTACCCACTGTACCCCAAGCTAAAGCAGTCTTATATATACAAAGACGTGTGCCATGCGAAGTAGCTGAATGGTAACCTTCAGAAAGTCCCCTCTGAACAAAGACCTGATGCGAAATTTCGGCGGACTTCAGTGGAGGCCGTCCAAGCACAGCCGCCGCGGTTCTTTTTTCATGAATTATGAGCGACATTTCAGGAACTTCACACCTCAGTAGCTGATCTGACTTCGTCATAAAGATTCTTACTGTAGATTCAGCCTCAAAGTATAGACGATTCTTAGCACGCAAAGACTGCGGACGTCGCCATCTCTCTAATCGAGCGCTCTTTGTTTACTTACCACTGTCTCTCCCATGCACGAGCTATCTTGGTCGGACGCAATGGCGCCCAGTCTTTGCGTGTCATGAATCGTGTATACATATTTTGCACAAACTATATTTGTAGTAGTGTAGGACCACAATTGGTTTCTAACGAGTTCTTTTGGTGAAAACTACACCCAGAGACCAATTCGAACTTTTCTGCTCTCTACACTTACAAACAGGTGAGACCAGAATTGGCAATAAGTTTGCAAAGAAGCCGTAACTTCATCAAAAACGCTATGGACAGATTTCCTTTTCGCTTGTTGGTAATGTTAACAACTGAGTCTATAAGTTAAGGCTGAAAAGGATACTTTATCGATGAACACTCAGCACGTATAACTCCCTAAGCGGTTTCACTGTTCTTTCCACCCTTGTCATACATCTACTTGACTCTACTGATATTCCACTTTATTGTGGAACACCACCGGCAAGCTAAACGCAAATAGTGCATGCAAAAAAGTCACAAAACAACAAGCGTTGCAGTTCTGCCTTTCATACATGCACCAACAATCGTGCGCTTGAAAGTCGGTTCGACTTCGAAACAGACCAGCGTACAAAGATCGGCGTCTGAAACTTCAAAAAACGTAAAAAAATAAAGTTCGTGCTCGCTGTCGCGCTCGGCGGAGAAAACTGCGCGTCGCTTCCGCGTCGCCGATCAGGGTACGCTTGTGCGTTTCGAATTCGTCCGACCACCGTACATAAGGCGCAGTGGAGCGCGAAATCATTCGCGCCTTTTCAAGATGGCTCAAATCAATTCTAATTCAAACGAAAGGTATGGAAAGGAAAAAAGTACAGAGATGTTTGTGCATGGTTTTATTTCCACATGGAGGTGCAGGATTATCGATATCGAAGTTCTGGAGCGCAAACGGTGCCATACGACTGCAATAAAGTTGTGTCTGGAGCACAGACCTGATGATGAATACTTGGAAATGTGTAGTAAGTATCTTTAAAATGTCCACCAAACTATTAACATGTTTACTTTTGTCCTGCACTTGAAAATTGACGACTTCCGTGTTAGGCTGTATTTATAGCCAATCGTAACAGTTTTGAAAGTGTGCTGGAACTGTGTCAGAAATCGCTAAAAAAGTATTGCCGATTGAGCTTTCAATTGAACGAACTTTTCTCTTGTATCGTTTTCTTGGTTCCCACTTTTCCTTTTATTACAAAGGAATCATAATTTGGAAGGTGCACAACTACGTAACTGCGCGCACTTTGAGTTCTTCGATTTGTATATTTATCCAGGAGAGGAGGAACTCGAGAAAAAATAGCCTTTACACGATTCAAAGACCATAACCACAGGAAAGGCGATTCATGGCATGCAAAGACTGGGCGCCTTTGCGTACGACTGAAATAGTTCGTGCGTGGGAGAGACAGCAGATGGTAAGAGCGCTCTATCAGAGAGACGCCGACGTTCGCAGTCTCTGCATTCGATGAACCATCTAAATTTAAAAATGCACGCTTTTGTCATTCGGATAACTACAGGGCCCAAAACAAATCTCATTGTCCGCCAATGTTTGTTTATATGAATCACTTTGGCACAAAGAGTCCACCATATGCCAAGCCATTCGGCCAGATCTGGCTTTTGACTAATAAGTTGTCGTATAATCGTGCGGAAAAGCCGACTCCCGATGAATTTTTATGCTCAACTCCTGTGGCCGTATTCATCAACGAAACCCGTGGGTTCCGGAACCCACTGGGTTAGTGCTTTTGATGAATATCGATTCTTCCCTGGAGTAGAATCGATATTCATCAAAAGCACTAACCCAGTGGATTCCGGAACCCACGGGTTTTGTTGATGAATACGGCCACTGGTGTTGGCAAAGGCTTGAAAGGTAGAATTCTTGGCTGTCACTAAGAAAAGATCAGGAAATTATGTCAGTCCTTGTCACATACATCTTCTGAATTTCTTCAAGCGGATGAATTTGCTAAACATCTAATACTATCTGGGTAATCCCACAGCTTTTATTGGAATCTGGAAGTCTAGGAGAATACTGACAAAACGCCACTAAAGTCATATAGACCCGTATTTTTCACAGTTTGCGTGAACAACGTTTATTGCTATTCAATATTTATAAGGATTTCCGCTATACCTGTCATACATCCACAAAATGTCTATAGCCTCAAAACCTTGCCTTTAGTGTGTTTGAAGGCCAAACTGGCACTAACGCTCCGAGTTTTACAACAACTCTGAAATACCGCTCAATCACTACACTGTGAGAATGGCAATGTCACTGAAGATTTAGACCAAAGTTTCATAGGATATGAACAAAAGGTAGAATTGTGCTATTTCATACAAGTGATGATCTTCAACCCTGCGATTTTTCTTGATGGGTTATCCTGAATTTGGATACAGTCGCCAGTTTCCGCTTTTCCATTTTAGTACCCGATATGAACGGACGAATTTGCGCATGTTTCCAGTCTTAGAAGGAAGGGTCACGAAGTCAAATTAGCCGATCACTATAAACTGCATATCCATAATAAGAGGTTGGAGCGCTGACACCAAATCTGCTTTCCATATCTGCAAAGCGCTTTCCGGAAAGATATTGTGAGCGTTTTCTGAGGCGAAAAAGCTATTGACCGGGATAAAATCACGTTACAAACTTTCTAGACGTCAAATGGGGCAAAAGAAAGTACTGAAAAACTAGGCAGAAGAGGTTTATTGTATGGAGTATAATGACAATTGCCTCTGCTTCACTTAAAATCTAAAAAACTGCAGCGATTGATTTATTCCTGCAATTAGTTCATATTTCGACTCTGGAAAATGCTCATGACTTCTTCTCTAGAAGGAATGTGCAGATAAGAAGAGCAGATTTGGAATTAGCGTGTCAAGCTCTCACTAAAGTTGTGCCAGGTTGTATAGATCGGCCACTTTGACTTTCTGACCCTCCCTTGTCAGAGAAAACCATTTGGTCCAATAACTGCTCATTTTGAACACTTGCAGTTATGAACATAACGCAGGTTCGCAGGTTAATTCAACATGCTGCACCTTAAGGTTAGAACGGTCGAACATTCACTTACAACCACTAGATAATCGTGTATTGGCCGTCAGACAACTGAGAAAAAAGCTGTGCATAGATGTCCTTTCAAGAACGATGAATTCATTGAAAATGTGTCCCTCCTCACTTCAGGTTCTCAAATGATAACTGTTTGAGCATTCCATCGTCTTGAGAAATCTTCAGACTCCGGCCCGTACCGTACCTTACGGCCGGAATAGCTCTACAAGAATGGTGTAGGCAAATGCGGTTATTTGTTAATATACCACGGATCCTGTATCTTATAATTCCAGGCGGTAGCTTTCATGGTCTTCACTTGCTTAAACCTCGTGTATAGTTCTTCCCAACTTCCACAACTCGCTCAGGTATTTTTTGTTGTTTTTAAGCTTCTGGAGCAAATGTTTTTATTGCACTTTGTACTTGGTTTGTCTCGGTACTAACCAGGGTCAAGCAAGGGGTGTGGCACACGATCGCTGGTTACGACCCCCCCCCCCTGATTGCTGTTTTAATAAGACCCCCCCCCCCCCACCCCTGAACTATATACCTAAGATAGCATTACCAGAGTTGAGAAAGAGGACAGGCACAAGTCTTTCGAACCCCCCCCCCTCCCATGAAAGCCCTCAAACGACCTCTTCTTCCTCCTCTTAACCTCTAGACCTCAAAGTGTGACATTCTGGAGGACACCATCTTTTTCTAGAGAGTTTTCAGATTTCTGAGAGCTGTACGCCCGATTTTCTGTGACTGCACTTTACAACCACATGTAATTTGACGGCTGATTTTGATCTGAATGGGCATATTGAAAGGGCCATAAATTTCTTATGGGTGGTGCATTCGGCTCCAAATTTCCAATGTAGCAAGAAGAAGCTATGTGCTCAATACTCATACCAGCAGTGTAGCGCTTTCTGGATTTTGAAGGCAAGTTAAGGGGGTGTGCCGCACCCCATTAACTATATCAAAAAAACATTTTTAGCGGACAGTATTTATATGAATCGATAGCCTAAACCTTGTAGATTCCCATAGGACTGTTTGGAGCCTGATTTGTCTTCTTAGCTCTAAGTAATATTTGGTGAAAGCACAGCGATCAAAAGCGAAAAATGGGAAAAACGAGATTTTGGTTGGCTTCTAATTCCACAGTTTGGAGGTCTTCTGAAGCGGAATTCCTGAGGTGGACAAAGAAGGAGTAGTGCTTTGTCTTGAGTGCAAAAACGGATAGCTAATTCACCTTTGAAACAAAGTTAACCATGTTGGAATTTGACCATTTCATTTAGGTAGCCTAGTATCTTGAATCTTCAGAATTTGCTCACACTTTGTCTACAGAGGTTAATTGACACGCTAATTATGGATATGATACGAATATCATGTTAACACTAGTATCAGATTACCCAACTACGACCCCCTCCCCTTTTGACTCCTCAATACGACCCTTCAGGTGTGGCGTGCCGCACCCCACGCTTGACCCTGGTACTAACTTATTAGTTTCTTATGGCGTACTCGGAGTACATGAGGTACAGACAGATCTAAATATGAAATGCGCGAAACCTCTTGGCTTGATTGACTCTAAGTTAGTCAAGGGGTATTCGTTATACATCTAAAAAGAATATTTTCATTGCAAAGTAGGGTACTGCCGGTCTTATTTACTTCTTTATTTATTCAATACGCAAAAGGCGTGCCATATATGGAACAAAGAACAAATACTTAGAGCATGAACAGTAAAAAGAAAATAACAAAACATCCCCAAAGCTCAAGTCCAGCTCCGTGAGTGGAAAGAGGTTAAGCCTGTAGACCGTGTATGCATATCAGTGCAGATGCTCGTTGGAGTCTGTCTCATGCCCCTGCTTGCAGCAAAAGTGCTCTTACTCAGGGACTCGCACCGTGCGGGCGGCCAGCGACGAACTTACAATCGCTCGTTGGTGTGTGCGATTGTACGGTCGTCAAGGGCCGTTAGCACGGTTAACGTGAGGCGCCCGCACTGTTTCTAATGCTCGCCGCTTGCGCGGGGAAGG